AATGCCTGCTTGTGTCATGTATGTTAGGTTGCCACCTCTTCCACTGAGGATGATGGACTTGTGTTGGCTCTTTTACCTGGTTAATCCACTTATTAATGGAGCAGTCTGAAGAGCAGGCAGACTTTAGAGCTACTTCAAACTCTGTTGAGCACAATTGTAATATATTGCCTCTGGTGTTCACTGCAGCCATCCAGAACTGCTCTCTGTTCCAGTTCTTTCATTGAGCATTGACAGTGCTCCTGTCACAGCTATTTGTTTGTACCTCTGTTCTTGACAGAGCTTGTGTAACCATGCTGGATCACAGAGTTGTGAACAGGTCTTTATTATGTGGCTATCCTGATGAGACTGTCATAAAAATACTGTCCAGAATTTTCTAGCCCCCCCAGTCAGAGAGGACTAACACACGCAGTCGATGAAATCAAGTACATATTTGTCTAGCAGACTTTTGACTGTTGCTAAGGACAGATATTTCACTACATCTCTGGTCAACTTGTTCCAGTGCTCAGCTACCATTCTGATGTGTTTTGGTTGTGGGTTTTTTTTTTTTGTGTGTGTGTGGGGGGGGGGTTTAATTTTTTTTTTTTTTTAATTCAACCTTAACCTTTCAAAGCTGATTGTCTGTTGTGACATTGCCTGGCCCTACTAAGAAGAATTTGTCTCTGTTATCATTGCTGTTGACCTTCAGATAGCTGTAGGGCATATTAGATCACTGTGGTGCCAGTCTTTGTCTGCCTAAACAAGCTCTGCTTTAGGCTTGTTTACCCCCTCTAGGATGTGTGCTGTAGGGCCTTGGCTGTCTTTATAGCCTCTCTCCATTAAAAGGCCATACTTAGCTTGAATGAAGTTTTTTCCCCATTAAAATAGCACTGGTGAAAGGCTACAAGTACTTGCTTTCACTCTTTGGTACTGCTCCATTATGAGCTGAGTTAGTTGATCACAGACACAACTCGCTTGTGTTGATGGAGTCCAGCATCCCTGCAGGAGGGACTATTGAAAATAAGTATTTGGTTGCTGCTGGGGAGGTTAAATATCTCTATCCCTTCCAGAGCACATTTTCTGGATGTCAAAACTGTATCAGAAAGCTAAATATCAAAAGCTAAAAAGCTAAAAATCCAGACTCTCAAGTCTGGATTGTAAGAGTTAATGGGCAAGTCTTTATGAATCTCTCCTGAGTTCATTTCAGTGGTTTCTTACTACTGCTTAAAGAGTTTTAACTGAATGCTCAGACCTCTCTTTAGACCCTCTTATACTTGACAGAAATAAATAAAATGTGCCATTATTGAATCTCTTTTCACTATACAAGGAAAGCAGATATGTCATAATGGTCTATTGACTCACCTTATTGCAGTCAGTGTTAGCCGCTCTAGTTTGTGTACTTGTTTTTGTTTTAAATTGCATCAGTTAGGCCAGAATCAGAGCACTTCAAGTAGTGCTGTGGATGTTGCCTGCAGTTGGATCTTATGTGTAAGGAGAGAGATGCACTTTAACAGGGAGAGAGGAAGACAAGATTTCTGTCCTTTTGCTCCCTTCAGTAAATATTCCTTTAACAGAGCTGTCCTGTGAAGAGCTGAGTTTTGCAGCAGCTCCACTCAGAGCTCATTCATGGAAAAAAAAGAGTTGCTGTATGACACTGCCTTTGGCTGTGGTGTATGTATTGTTTCCTCTCTGTCCTGAGCTCTGCTCAGCAGAAGAGCCAGGAATTACTGCCTGGCTTCTCATTATTGCCATTTCTTCCTTTGTTTTCATTACCAGCTTCAGAGTGAGGTAGAGAAACCCCTGCTTAGCTTCAGAGAGAACTTTAAGAAAGACATGAAGAAGTGTGACCACCATATTGCAGACTTACGGAAGCATCTGGCCAGCCGCTACACAGCAGTTGAAAAGGTGGGAGCAGAGAACAAACTGGAAAGTTTGAGAGATACTGCTGGTTTGTACAGAAGAGCAGCTGCCCTCTGAAGGGTTTCTGTTCTGCTATAGAGAACCACAAAGGTTTCTGATGAGTGCTTTCTGCTATTAGTTACGCTTTGCTTGGGCCCCTGACATGGTTTGCTGCTTAGCTGAGATTTGGGAAACTTGTGGCTACAGGCAGGGCTAACATGTTACTCTTGAACTGGCTTTTTGTTTCATCCTCCCCTTCCTATTTTGGGACAATATATTTCTACGACATGTGATTAAAATACTCCTTGCTCTTGTGCATCTGGAATTCACAGCTGTTGCCCTCAAAATTTAAGCTGTTGCCTTACAATAGCAGCATGGTCAGGCCAAAGGATTGGCTGGCCGAGTATTCTCTCATGCAGTGGCCACAAGCAGATTGCCAAGGAAGGCAGCTCAAACCGGGCATGGCAGGTCACAAACCCTCTCCCAGTTCCTGTTTTCTGTGCCTCACAGCAAACATCCTCACCTGAAAAACCCAAACAGAAGCAGCATCCTAGTATCAGGGGCTGTTTTAACATGAACATCCGGTAGGTAGCTGAGGGGGTTTTTTAGGGAGAGTTACACCCACAGAAAGTGCTCTTCTGTCAGCAGCTGGCAGGAAAAAGGGATACTGATGCCTGGGCTGCCAAGATGCTTATGCCAAATGGTATCCTCATGAGGTTTGGTCTTGGGTGTAGGTTGGGGAGGAAAATACCATGGTCAGTCATTCCAGAATGTTGTTTGGGCTTTAATTGATGATCAGAGTGCACATGAGAAAGTTAGCCTGGGGACAGAATTGTTGCAAGATACACAAGATTATTAGACTGCATGTATGCAGGGAAGGCATTTTTCTGCAATACAGTAAGTTTTTCACAGTCACATCTGCAAAGAAACACAGTCCTCAGTAGGCATATTGAAAAGAATGAGTAAGAACAGCCTTGAGAAGGAGCAATAAAAAAAGGAAAAGCCTTGTCTGCAGTTTGCCTAATGAAGCATGTAGATTCTCACCAGATTGCTTTCCTGCAGCTCCCTCTTGTGACCAGCCAAACAAGCATAGGGTCTTTAAATCTGTTAATTAAAAAAAAAAAAAAATCAAGTAATGCAAGAACAAATGTGACCTATTTTGTAACAAATCTGTGAAAAGCAAGTTATTTTTATATTAAGTATTTAGGCAACTTCAACAAATAAGATGACAGCATACATATGTGGTAATCATAAAATCATAACATGCTTTGTGTTGGAAGGGACTTTAAAGATCATCTAGTTCCAACCCCCTGCCATGGGCAGGGACACCTTCCACTAGACCAGGTTGCTCAAAGACTCATCCAGCCTGGCCTTGAAGACATCCAGGGATGGGGCATCCACAGCTTTTCTGGGCAACCTGTTTCAGTGCTTCACCACCCTCTCTGGGAAGAACTTGTCCTGATATCTAATCTAAATCTCCCTGCTTTCAATTTAAACCCATTATCCCTTGTCCTGTCACTACAGGCCCTTGTAAAAAGTCCCCTTCCATCTTCCTTGTAGGCCCCTTCAGGCATTGGAAGGTGCTATAAGTTCTCCCCGGAGCCTTCTCTTCTGCAGGCTGAACAAGCCCAATTCTCTCAGCCTTTCTTCATAGGAGGGGTGCTCCAGCCCTCTGAGCATCTTCGTGGCCTCCTCTGGACTCGCTCCAAGTAGTCTATATCCTTCTGATGTTGAGGGCTCCAGAGTTTGATGCAGAACTCCAGGTGGGGTCTCACAGGAGCAGAGTAGAGAGGAAGAATGGCCTCCCTCACCCTGCTGGCCATGCTTCTTTGGATACAGCCCAGGATACAGTTGGCTTTCTTGGCTACCAGCACACACTGCTGGCTCATGCCCAGCTTTTAATCTACCAGTACCCCCAAGTCCTTCTTCTCAGAGCTGCTCACAGTCCATTCTCTGCCCAGCCTGTACTTGTATTTCGGATTGCCCCTACCCATGTGCAGGACCTTGCACTTGGTCTTGTTGAACTTCATGAGTTTGGCTACCTCCCCAGCCTGCCAAGGTGCCTCTGGATGCCATCCCTTCCCTCAAGCATGTCAACCGCACCACACAGCTTGGTGTCATCAGCAAACGTGCTCAAGGTGCTTGACCACAATTCACTGAGTGTGACCATCAAGCTAGTTTTTTTTACCCACTGAGTAGTCCATCTGTCACATCTGTACCTCTCCAATTTAGAGACAAGAATGTCGTGCGGATGGTGTCAAATGCTTTGCACAGGTCCAGGTAGATGACATCGGTTGCCTGTCCTTTATCCACTAAGGTCATGACCCCATTGTAGAAGGGCGCCATATCCGTCAGGCATGATCTGCCCTTGGACAAGCCATGTTGGTTGTCACCCATCATCTCCTCATTTTCTGTGTGCCTTAGCATGGTTTCCAGGAGGATCTGCTCCATCATCTTGCTAGACACAGAGGAGAGACTGACTGGCCTGTAGTTCCTTGGATCTTCCGTTTTTCCTCTTTAAAGATGGGGGTTATGTTTCCCTTTTCCAGTCAGTGGAAACTTCACCAGACTGCCACGACTTCTTGAATATGATGGATAGAGGTTTTGCAACCTCATCCACTAGGTCTTTCAGGACCTGCCGATGTATTTCATCACATCCCATGGACTTGTGCACCTTCAGGTTCCTTAGGTGCTCTCGAACCTGATCCTCACTAACCCTGGGCGGCTCTCCATTCTCCCAGTCTCTGCCCTTGCCTTCTGCTACTTGGGGGATATGGCTTGCATCTTTGCCAGTGAAGTCCGAGGCATAAAAATCATTGAGCATCTGTGGCTTCTCCATATCCTTTAAAACCAGTTGTCCCTGGTTTTACCCTCTCCCTCTCCTTCCGCAGAGGGCCCACATTTTCCCTGATTTTCCTTTTATCCCCTATGTACCTACAGAAGCCCTTCTTGTTGCCCTTGACGTCCCTGGCCAGGTTTAATTCCATCAAGGTTTCAGGATCCTAACCTGATCCCTAACTTGTCAGAGAACTTCCCTGTAATCCTCCCAGGCTCCCTGTCCCTGCTTCCACCCACTGTAGGCTTCCTTTTTGCACCTCAGTTTCTCCAGGACATACTTGTTCATCCACTCACTCTGTTGGTGAGAACAAGGTCCAGCATGGCACCCCTCCTCGTTGGCTCCTCTATCCCTTGGAGAAGGAACTTGTCATCAATGCATTCCAGGAACCTCCTGGCTTGCTTGTTCCCCGCTGTGCTGTCACTCCAATCT